ACTAATAGTCTTTCCATCTCTGTTTCAAGCTTTGGCCCTAGGAAAAGATGGTTGGCTAGGGGAGATGCTCCAGTTGTTCCTGCTGTCCCCTAGAGGGGCATCAGTAGTCCTAAAGGAACGTCAGAGGGTTCAGCCCCATTCTGGTTATCCTTTCAATTCCAACTGGAGTGCAAGCCTTTCTAGTTACACATCCAGTGAGGTCACTCCAAAGCAATGCCATCCCAGCATCACTCCCCAGTCCTTGACCTTGGCCCTAGGCAGGCCCTGCATCTCCTTTCCCTAGCAGACAAATAGTCTCACTACCTTTCCCCTTTGATGGGGATGTCACAGCAGTGTTTCTGCATGTCAGCACTTTGCAGCAGCCACATCAGATGACTTTAAACTGGGGGAAGCAGGAATCTTTCCACATACTTCTTTTTTGTGTTTTGTTTTTGTTTTTTTACAAGACAGGGTTTCTCTGTATTGTTTTGGAGGCTGTCAGTCCAGCCCGGCCTCGAACTCACAGAGATCTGCCTGCCTCTGCCTCCCGAGTGCTGGGATTAAAGGCGTGTGCCACCAACGCCCGGCCCCGCATACTTCTTACAAAGAAAAAGAGAGTTGTGGGCAGCATCCCGGGTTTTATGGCCAAGGAGCCCTGCTTCAGTTTCCCACTCCTGTGGGTATTCGCAACATCCACTGCTCAAAACCTCAGCTCATGCTGCATTGGCTCTTCCCATCTGAACATCTGCTGAGCTGCCTTCATCCAGGTGATTTGAGCAAAGGGAAACAGATGTTCTTCAGAAAGAACATCCCACGGAGCATGGAGGTATCTACAGTGAGGGAAGGCTCCATGTGCCCTTTCTGAGCTTTGTGACTGAGTGTGGGGCATGCATTCTCCTGGAGGCTGAGATTGAGGAGAAGAGCTCCTATTCCCAACACCAACTCTTCCTCTAATTCTTTTCTAAGTTTTTTTCCCCAAACCTTTTAGCCACTGGACAGTACTTGCATTTATAGTCTATGCTTAGTTAAAAATAAATGAGTATTTGCATGAATAAATATACCATATATAAAGAAATTAAAACAATATAAAGTACAAATGCAACAATGAACATTACCCGTCTCCTGGATTCAAACAGCAGCCAGGGATCTCTGCTTTAGGGACATGGGGTTGGCCACACTAGTTCACATACTTACTCCAAGTCAGATCTAAGAATAAAGCCCTGTGCCAATGGCCTGGGAACTAATGGAAGGGCCCATCAATCATCAGCCTTGAACGCATTTCCTCTCAGCAGATCAACTTTTTGATTGACTAAACTGAAACTGAAACTCTAGCCTAGGGGTCATTCCAGGAGGAGCAGCCTCAGCCAAGGGCCCGATCACACACCATCAGCAGACTCCCACAGCTGGGAAATGACTCAGCCAGTCCCCACCATGTAAAGACAGGGACCTGAGTTTGGATCACGTGTACAAACCTGGGCATGGTGGCACTTGATACCTATGGCTGTAGTGCTATAGGAGAGACAGAGGTTAGTGGAAACCATGGAGCTTGATGGACAGCCAGTCTTGCTGGTCAGAGAAATGAGAGACCCTGTCACAAAATATAGGATGGGGAGCAATTGAGAAAGAGAGTTGATGGCACTGGCCTCCACAAGAATGAATCATCCCTTCCTGCAGGGCAGACTGAGGCTGCCGGGTCTGCTCTGCTTCCTCTTGCTAGTGAAGCAAAGCAAGACCTGGGCTCTGCTGGACACATCTGTGTGTGCATTGATCAAAACAGCCTAAGAGTCATGGAGAAAGACTCAGGTGTGAGCTCCAGCAGAGACATGTCCAAACTCAGAACAATGTTTGGGCGAAGTAGTGCAATGTGCTTGAAGGTAGGGGTAGGAGTATCAAAACTTCTTGGACGTAGTCCTGGCTGGGATTTCTTTTCTCATTTCATGAATGAGTTTTTGGTGTTTGACCACTGTGACTCTCATGGGTGATTTCCCTCTGAGAGGTAGAGGTTTAATCCTCCTCTCACTGGGTCTGGGTTTCCCAAGCCTCCCTGCATGCCTGGCAAATCCTCGATACTCATTGATATATATATTTAGAGTTCAGCAGGAAACAGAACGGATGTGGGACACTGCTCTTGTACACTGTAAATATTTGCCACTCAGGTTGGTTCAATAAAATGCTGATTGGCCAGTAGCCAGGCAGGAAGTATAGGTGGGGCTACCAGACTAGGAGAATTCTGGGAAGAGGGAAAGCAGAGACACAGTCACCAGCCAGACACAGAGGTAGCAGGAATGCCTTACTGAGAAAAGGTACCAAGCCATCTTTAAGTTGTAAGAGTTTGTTAGTAATAAGCCTGAGCTATTGACCAAATCATTTATAATTAATATAAGCCTCTGTGTGTTTATTTGGAAATGAATGGCTGTGGGACCAGGCAGGACAGAAACTTCTGTCTACATATCTCCACCACACTGGAAGAGGGTCCACTTTTGACCAGCAGCCCACAGCTAGGCTGTGGTTCTCTCAACACACACCAACAGGAAAGCTCCATTGGGCATTGATGTTGCAGTGTGATCTGACCATATAGTCTTTGTACTTGGTTCTTCTCTGTATGTCCTTGAGGGAGGATAACAGTTGCAGAGCTGGTAGAACTGACAGAGCAGGGTGCCCAGGTCAGAGAGCAAAATGACACCTTTCCATTCACTTCTTGTCTGCTTCAACGGGTGCCGTGAACCAGGGCTAAACTAGAAAAATGCACATGTATTCAAATTTGCTGATTTCAGAAGCTGAAACCAGAATTTTATGTTTTTAATCAATGAAGTTTGGGGTTGTAAATATGGTTCAGTGTATGTGTAGCAAGCACTTTACCTACACAAACCCTAAGTACTTATGTGCTTGCATGTGGAGGCCAGCATCATCGATTCTCTTTCTCAATTGCTCCCCACCCTACATTTTGAGACAGGGTCTCTCAGTTCTCTGACCATCAAGACTGGCTGTCCATCATGCTCCAGGGTTTCCACTTATCTCTATCCCTCCTCTAGCACCACAGCCATAGTTATCTAGTACTATGGCTTTTAAATGTGATCTGAACTTAGGTCCCTGTCCTTACATGGAGGGTACTGACTGAAACATTTCCCTAGGCCTGTGTGCTGAGCTAGAGTCTTGGATGGTTTTCTTAACTTCTCTGTTACTTACTTTTTCTCATTTGTTAAATGGGGATTATATCAGTGCTACATACCTTGAAGATCTTTGTGAAAATGAACAAAATTTTCTTTTAGTACAAACATGTACATTTCTAGTAATCAGTAGACCATAACTGCATTGTAGCTCCTGGTGTTCTGGGAGGCTGTAGCATCTGGATAGAATCTAAGCTTATTGTGCTGTCTTGCTGCTGTCTTGGTAAACTTTGTAATTTGGGATGCTTTTTATATTTCTTGAAAAGTGCCAAAGATATCCAGAGAGTTCTCTTATACCTTTTACATAGTTCACCTTATGCTCGTGTCTTACATAGCTCTAGTTCATTGTAAAAACTTAAAAGCAGTATTTGAGCATGGCTATTAATTAAACTACAGCAGTCACTCAATGTCAGCATTTCTTCTACTGAAGTCCTTTTCTGCTCCCACATGGTCTTATTGGTCTCTTAAAGGGTTTCTGTCTTTCCCGGTCTTTGATCCACTCCCTATTTCAGGGCACATTGGTCACTTTGTGTAGACCACCTTTCATTTTGGTTTTGCCTGCTGTTTGTTTTCTCACTATTAGAGTTATGGGGGGTTTCAGGGAAGAAGGAAGTGTTTTCTTAGCATATGGTATCAGAGGCACATGCTATGAACACATTCTGCTATTGGTGAGAGCAGCATTACTCACTGTAAAATCTGCCAGGTTTATCTTCTGCATGCTGCTTTAAAAAAGATTTACTTTTAATGTTGTGTATGTGAGTGTGTCTGTGTGTGAGTATTTGTCTCGAGAGTCATGTCTTAAGAGGCCATAAGAGGGTGTCAGATTCCTCTAGAACTGGATCATATGCCTTTGTGAGCATCCTCGCATAGCTACATGTTCTTTATGAGTGAGACATCTCTCCAGCCCCAATCATTTTGACTATTTTTGTCCTAACCCTAGAATTAGCCATTTCCCAAGATTTCTTGCTCCTTTTATCAACAAGTGGTTAGGAACCAAGCATGGACTTGAGGCATGTTTGCTGGGGCTTGCTGGCACCATTTTCCAGCAAGCATACTAATAAAGGCTGGGAGTTCGGATGGTACAGGTTTCTCTGACTTTGGGCTGGGACTTTTTCACTCTGAGCCCTGGTTTCCTCATCACTGAGGAACCATTCACAGGGCTGTAGGATTGTGAGGAATGAAACAGGCTAGTTGCTCCAATGTTCAACTTTTCTGTTGAATATTATCAAAATATTTGGGAAAATTATGGGAAACATCTTCAAAGCATCAATGATTTGATGAAACAATAAAGGCAATTTTAATAAAAAGGGAATCTGGAGAAATAAAAAAGAAATCGCATTTTCTCTGAAGTCATATATCATTTCCAGTGGATCTTAACTGTCATTTTTGACAGTAGGACAGTGACTGAGGAGGGGGCAGGAGGTAAAAAACAATCAACAGTGCACAACAGAAGATAACTAGACACATCTAACACAGCAGGAAAAGGAAATAAAAGCTTAAGTACTAAAGAACTTGACATTTTTAGCTAAAGGCTATAAAGTAGCAGTATTTTTTTAATTTATGGAGAAATAAAGAGCAATGTTAAATATATTTGAGGAGTAGAGACTAAAATGCGCTAGAGGTAACATGACAAAGAAAGAGGCACCTATTCAGATAAAAATTCCTGCATTCGATGTCAACAAGTTCATGGACAGCAAGTCTGTCCCTGTCACTTAATAAAATCATAAGAGACTATGAAACACAGAGAACTAGAGCGCACAAGTCAGCCCTCAGAAACGGCAGGGCTGTTTTCTAAGAAAACGAAGAGCCAAAGGCTGCCACACTAAGTACCTGCTGTGTGCCGGAGAATCTTACCTGAGCCCTGATGCGCATGCTGGCCGTGGGAGTCAGGTAGTTATTTTCTAAGTACCAGCCCCGCTCCTGGAACACCAGCTTTGTGCCATACAACAGACAAAACTGAGGAGTGAGAGACAGGAAGAAAGCAAATGTTAGAAAACCAGGGGCTGAAAGGAATCTGAGGTAACATCACATCACATTTTCTAAAGCCAGAAGTCTTTAATTAAGATGGACACGTTTTTTACCTTTCCAATAAACCTTGAAAGCAATTCCAAAAGAAGAATAGTTTAATGAAGTCCCCCATATCAATCCCATTCAAGAAACATTAACACACAGTCAACCTTGGTTCCAAGTAACTCCCTGTATCCACCCCACTCAGGTGACTTAGAAGCCACCCAGAATAGATTTTGAAATACATACATAGTTCTGTTTGCTTTCCTTCTCATTCATGAAAAATACTCAGCAATGTCATCTTGATATTTTCCACTGAGCAGCATTTGATTAACTTTCACAAAAATAGCATTCCTCATTTACATCTTGCCTCAGTGTGTTTTTTCTGTTACATTTCTGAAACTGAGCACTCTGAATGACATCACAGGCCGCCACTGGGCAAAAAATAAACCAGTTTTCCAGAAGCAAAGTGGCTTTTCATCTAACCATTCATCCATTTGCTACTTAATGTTCCATAATCTCCAATCACACAGAAAGTGGGGGAGGAGTGTGCAAGGGCTTTCGTGTCTCCAGCCCCAGTCTGGGTTATCAGACCTCTGGCCTTTTGGCTTCATTTCAACTCCCACTCAGATCCCTGCTGTGGTATTGTGGCACCAAGCCCAGCCCTACCACTTCATCCATAAACACACCTCACTTTTTCAAAGATGGTCTTAGGTTGCAGTCACAGCTCAGTGACAGGGTACTTGCCTTGCATGTGAAGGAGATCATATTGGATCCCCACCACACACTTAAAAAAAATCTGAGTTTGGTGGAGAATGTCTGTAATCCCAGAGCAGGGAAGCAGAGGTGAGGGTGGGATGGGAGGGTTTCACGGGTCAGCCAGTCTAGCCAACCAATAAGCTTCAGGTTCAGAGGAAGACTCTGTCTCAAAATGAAAGGAGGGGACCAATCAAAGAAGATGCCCACTGTTAACCCCTGTCCCCCATATGCACACGAGGGTATTTTCACATACAGATGCACACACATGTGAACATGAATGTGCACACACACAAGATATGTGTGGGCAAGATGTAGGAAAAGCACAAGGGACAGTGGCTTCCTTAAAACTCTGGTTAGAAGAGTCAGGTGGGAAGATGAAGGGACGCTCCTAGTCTGAAAGAGCAGTGTGAACAGGGCTACTATAAGAAGAGTCCTGAACCTCAGATAAGGTGACTCCCCTCGGAGAGGTAAGAAGGACACTGGGAAATTCTAACAGTGCGCTATTCCTCTCGAGTCTCCAGCTGTTACCTGGACTCAACGGAGTTGAGAGGGCAAAGCTTCTGCCATGATTTGAACATGTTTCCCAGAAGTCCCCCTGTTGGACACCTAATCCTTATGTTCACATGTAAATGGTACTTAGAAGTAGAGCCTTTAAAGGAAATGGGGGTTACATGAGGTCCTGAGGATACGAGCAACATGACAGCTTTTATAAGAAGAGTGAATGGAGCTAGAACCTTCGCCCTGTGATGGTCTCAGCCATATTAGGATGCAGTAAGAAGCCACTCGCCAATAGTTGAGCAGATGACTACACCATGTTCTTGAACTTTCCAGCCTTCAGCACAGCTGTGAACCAAGTAAATTGCTAGTCTTCAAAAAGTATCCATTTGAGATATTTTGTTACAACAACAGGAGAGAAACTAAGATATATTGTATCCATGCAAGCCAAGTAGGTCAGCCTCCCAGGGATATAACAGGATTGGGAAGGGAGTAGAACTGGAGAAAAGACCAGATATTAATCTCAAGTCCCAGACTTAACTGTGATTGTCAGCCTCTCGTCCAGCCCTACCAATTCAAGTAAAAGTGCACTGAATTGCAGCAAGCTCCTGCCAAGCCCGCATCTATCTACACAACCCAGGATTAGTTCCACATTGTCGCCTATCCAGACTAAACACGGAGTTTACTGTGTCTGCTCTTTCCTTCTTTAGTCTCTTGAGTTGCCTTCCTGATGACACTCTGGAGCTGGCTTTTAGTTTTGCCTTGTGTCACAAAAATATAGTTAATATTCTGTGGAGGTTGCCCTCCCTGCCTTTCCTGGTAAATAGGAGTGATGCTGGTCCTCTGCGGTTACCAGAAGGACATTTAAGTAGGGGTACCAAGGACCCAATCTCAGCCCCTTTTGTGTCCAGCTCTTCAGGGACTCTTAGTGCTAGAAGAATCATTTATATTAAGCTTTTGTTTATTCTGGGTGTGAGGATATGAATGAGCTTGGATGAGCTCCAAGAGATATGGAGACTTCTTGCTTGGTTCTGTCTAGGGTCCAATAAAGAGACTCAGTCTCAGTGACTCATACTGTTTACTATTGACCTTACAACTTCTGCTGCCTGAAAAACAGATCAGAAGTCTGTGACAACTGCTCAACACCAGACCTTAATAACACATACTTTCATATTTCTATGCATTCTTTCCCCCTGGTGGTACATATGTTCGTATGTGCCTGTGTGCTGTGTCTCTCTCTCTCCGTGTGTGTGTGTGTGTGTGTGTGTGTGTGTGTGTGTGTGTGTGGTGTATGTACCCACACATGTGCATATAGAGACTGAGGGGTCTCCTGCTCTATCAGTTTCCATCTTATTCTCTTAACAGAGTTTCTCACTGAATCGGGAGTGAGGATGGTGGCCAGCAGTCCCCAGTGATCCACCTGTCCATCCCCTAGTGGCTTTTACTGTGGGGACTTAACCTCAGACCCTCATGCATGCACTGTAAGCACTCTTAAGCAGTGAGTTGTTTCTCTAGACCATCCTTTTTGTCTTTTGATTTGTTTTTCTATTTGAAACAGAGTTTCATTATGTAGCCTTGGCTGGCCTAGAACTTGCTACATAGACTAGGCTGGCCTCAAATTCATATAAATCTACCTTCTTCTGCCTCCCAAGTTACCACCCTGGGCCTTTTTGTTTGCAGTAGAATCAGCATTGACTGTTCCTTTCCTCTTACTACACAAACTCAGTTTTTTGTTTTGTTTTGTATAATTACGTGTGCATGTGTGCGTGTGTGTGTACACGCGTGCATGTGCCACATTGGTGAGGGTAAGATTCATAGAGACCACAAGAGAGTGTGGGATCCCTTAGAACTGGATTACAGGATGTCATAAATCATCTGATATGGGTTCTGGAAACCTAACTCAGGCCCCTGCACTAACTCAGCAAGTGCTCTTAACTGCTGAGCCATCTCTTCAGCCTTTAGTTTTTGTACTGTGTTGAACCCAATGGCTCCAGGATATTTCATTCTGTTTTTAAGATGCCAGAAAGAAGGAAATGTTTCCAGATGTTGTTTCATCTGTGTGATCTGTGGAGCGTCATTGCTGCCTTGAGTTTGGAATCTATGCTTTTATATGCAAAGTAAGATATAATGTACTCTCATACATCCCATAGTTTTAAACAAATGAGAGGGGAAAGTATCATCTGCATCTGGTTTATGAAAAATAGTTGATCATTTAACACTTGCACCCACACCCTATTGTGAATGGCTTTAAACAAACCCGTGAAGATATATCTATGTCCCTAAGGAGATGCTTATAAATTTGTTCCTTTAAAGTTATCTCCACAGTGTACCCTACCTCAAACCCTTCAAAATCACTGTGGATTTTGTTTTAATCACCTGATACCATATGACATTCAAGTTGGTAAAGTCTGGCTTACCAATACCATAGAACTTTTATTCTTCAAAGCTTAATGAACGAAATCAGATAACTTTTTCTAAAAACCTATGGGTTCTGGATTGGGGTGGCATGACCATGATGGCTAATGTGACTTGCCAACTTTGCAGAATTTAGAAATCACCTGGAAAACAAGTCTCTGGTCATGCTTATGGGGGTTATCTTGATTGCATCAAGTGATGTGGGAAGACCTGTCCACTGTGGGTAGCACCATTCCCTGACTGGCATCTGGACTATGTGTGTAGAGGAAGGGAGTGGAGCACATCACCCATTTATTGCTGTCTGCTTCCCGATTGTGGATGCTATGTGACCAGCTGCTTCAGTCCCTGCAGCCTTGGCTTCCTGGTCAGAAGAGACCACACCCTTGAATTGAAAGCCAGAATAAGTTCTTCCTCTCTTAAGTCACCTTTGTCAGAGTGTTTTGTCATAGCAACAAAGTAGAAACTAAGATAGTAGAGTGGGTGATTTTCTTCCTTTCCTGGAAAGTATGAACAGAGAGACTACATGAAAACTCTGAAAAATAAATGGTGGTAACCATGAGACCAGCATTCAAAGCACAGAAGGCTGAGATGGTGGTGAGTTTAATCTTTTCCCCCCTTTAGCCTTCATGCTGCTCATCTGACAAGGCAGGTGCCCAGGAGCAGGCTAACTAAAACACTGCTTTCTAGACAGAAGGAGAGACTCAGGGTACTACACAATACCAGAGAGGGTGGGCTTGGGGAAATAGACCCACAAAACTGTGAACTTTTGAGCTCAGTCATAGGTGTGCATATGTGAACTAACATTGCTAATCACCAAAAAGACTATAAACACTGGGGACAGAGGAGAACATAAGAACTAGACTGGCCAGTGAGTCGCAGATAAGCAGACAATCTGAATAGAATGACCATAGCAGATAGTATAATATATAATGGAAAACAAAGGAACAAATAGAGGAATAAAATAAATAGAAACACAATAAGATGGTGGACAGAAACACCAACAGTAACAAATGGATATAAACATTAGTAAAATAAGTGGTCTAAACACAATAGTCAAGACGGGTTTTCAAAATGATTTTTTAAAGTTTAAATAGTTAAAGTGTGTGTGTGTGTGTGTGTGTGTGTGTGTGTGTGTGTGTGTGATGCATACGTGAGTGCAGTGCCTGAGGAGGCCACCAGAGGAATTGAAGTTACAGATGGCTGTGATCTGTCTGATGTAGAAGCTGGGAACTGGACTAGGGTCCTCTGTAAGAAAAGTGTGTGTGCTTAACAGCAAATCA